TTGATGATGCTTTAGAGAATTCCTCAAGCCTTGCCCACTGCCTAGGTATCACCCAGGTAACCATTATCTTTATCAATGGACTGTGTGAAAATCAGTGGGAAAGACTTGACTCCCCTGATACACTAAATGTAATACAGCAGAATCAATATGAGCATAGGGGTTGGGGGGAGGGGAGAGAGAGGGAGAAGGGATTGACATGTGAAGCAGACTTGTTTCTAATTTGAAGTAATAAAAAAAATCTCTTGGGGAAAAAAACTTTAAAAATCAAAACAAAAAAAAAAGGAAATAAAATCATAGTAACAAAAGTAGAGGGCACCATAGAGGAATGAGAGAAAGACCATTCTGTCAGAAAACAGAAACACTGATGATTGACTATTAAATACAGAGCCTGGTTGTAAAAGGGATTTGAGGAGGGGAGGGGAAGCTACAGCACTAGACAAATAGCCAGTGCTAAAAGATTCTAGTAAGCTGATGAGGTTTAGTATCACAGCACCAAGGGAGTATAGAAGATTGTAGGGCAAGAAAAGCAAGGGCATGGACTTCAGATCGGAAACTTAAGACTAACACAATTTCAACTCTGATAACTGGGATAACCTAGAGGGAAGCTCACACACAATTCAGCATATACTGTGCAATTCAATATTAATTAGTTTCCAATCTTTGGATCACACTTGCTGCAAGAATGATGGAATTTGAGTTCACCTCACAAAATGCTATGACAACATCAACATCTGAATCAAAGCTCTTTCATAATAAAAGACTTCAACTTCAACATAAGCATCCAGCCACAGGAAAACACCTCACATACCCACAAAACGTGTTATAGTGCAAACGTTAAGTGGAACTAAATTCTGTCCTTATTGAAACAAACAAAATAGTTCCCGGGGGAAATGACGAGAGCAAGAATACACTTCCAGCCCCAAGGAACTGCCAAAGCAATGAAGTCACTACTGATTTCTCAACTCCACTGCCAGGGACTTAGGTTTTAAGTCAAGAATCCTTTCCCTGTGTCCTTGCACTGTTATTTTATCTACTCTCTTAAAACGGACCATAAAATATAACTTTAACAAAGGGAAAAGTTTGGCACTTCTATGCTCCCCTAGATTCTCTTGCAGCGAATAAAAACTCCTTTATAAAAGCTTTAGGTATCCACACAAGAAACATTGTAACTGATTCTATACACTTAAAGCATTTAATTAGAACTGTGCTTGGTAATTTAAGATTGAACAATGAAATTTTACTTGTAACTCCAATGGAAACAGGTATAGTATGTTGTTTACAATGGACATGCAATAAATATCTGCTGATTTGAGAAAGAAAATTGAGTGTCTTCAATACATTTTAGAATATTATTTATAAACTCAGGATCTGGACAATCAGAGTTAATTAAAACAAATTGGATTGGCAAAAGGGTTAAATGTTTTTGAATCTATTTTCATATTAAATGGTCAATTTCAGAACAGCTGAGAAGAGCTCAGGACACCTTGGCACACTTCCACAGATTATCTGGTGATCACAGGCATCTGGCTTTTCTTGATTATTTATGGAATTTCACTTGGTATTTCCAAAACAATTTTGCAATATTTGGACATTCTCCAAGTGGCTTATTCGATTCACATTTCCCCCAACACTCATGTCATTTGGAAATTTGGTTATTTTTCCCTTTATGGTTTTCACATGAATACTTAGTTTTCTATAAAGTAAATTCAGGGTTTTATTAAACAAAAATGAGGTTAAAGAAACAAATTTCATGATAAATCAAAATTTAGCTTAGAAGCTTTCAATTTGTGATGCCTCAGATTCTGAACATAAATAACGTAGTTGAACAAGGAAAGAATATTGCATCCAATCAAGAGACATCTAAACACACTGTCATGAGGATGGGAAGTGCCAGTGTTCTTTCTCGAAGCAGGAAACGGGCATGGAATCTGGAGAGTCTTTGCACCAAGAGAGAGGTTTAAAATGAATGCCACCTCATGTGGTAAACAAGGTTGGCTCGCTTGATTTTATTTAACAGAAGCAAAAACTGAAAAAGGGGAGCTAAGAAACAGAGGGATAGAGGAGTAGCTGTATGTTCATGAATAAAGGTCAAAGCTGGCATAATCAGAGTTCAAACTCCTGATGCAGTAAACATTTCTGATGAAAGTAATTTTTAGAATAAATATCTCCCCACCCTTAATGAATGAACCCATTATTAAATTATTAAAACAGAGAAAAGAAATGTGCTACAAAAGTTAGTTCAATACCATACTGACAACAATAACTTATTTGTGCTCATTCTGAATAATAAGAAAAAATAACTAATAGTAATGACATGCTTTTGATGGGAAAGACCAGTCACATGGAAGGAAGCTGAAATAAGACATTTTCATTATATGTTTCTTATACTATGACATTATTTTAAATATTTGTGGAAACTAGGATGTGTTTCAAATATACGTGGCTTATAAAACAAAATTATGAATTGGTTTTCCTATACCCTTAAGAGTGATGGAATGGGTACTAAGAAAAGATCTTTCACTAACAACACTCACATTACCACCATGCAATTTAGAATCCTAAATGATTAGTGTTTTAATTGATAGCACATTACTGTACCTTCAAGGAGATTTATCACTCATGTATATGTGTGTATTAACATGCAGAATCAGAGCAACATTCTATGCTCACACCAAAAAGCTTTCAAATAATACTTACAAATTTTGGCTTAATGCTCTCAATTATTTTCTAAAATGCTACTCATTTGAATACCTTTTCAGTAAAAGAAAGTTAATGAGCAAATTTAAAGTATGATAATATGTTTATTTGAATGAAACACTGTCAGAGCAGCAGCTATAAGAAAGGGGTGCATGCACGCGCACGCACACACACACACACACACACACACACACACACACACACACACACACACAAATGATGGCTTGGGAATAGTAAATAAGACTCAGAATTGCTGGGAATTAGCAATAGAAAGGAAATGAACAGGCCATCAGGAAGAAAATGACTTACCAAAGCTGCAAGCTTCCTTCCCAAAGACTGGCTAGTGAAGCAGTGTGGCCACACTGTTACAGCCTCTTGAGATACCCATCACCAGCTAGCTGGAGGGAAGCAGAGCCAGAGGAATATCCAAGGGTCAATGCAGAGGGAGGTTGCTCATGCATTCAGCTATGTACCTGCCCGCTGAGCCTGGGTGCCACTCTCAACCTAGATTATTACTACCAATGAATTGGAAAAAAATATAAAATATAGTAGGTGGGAAATTGAGGCAAAACAAAGTAAGTTCTAATAGTCAAAGAGTATAATCGAATTCCCTGTTATCTATTTTGTAACTATTGAATATGTATAAATTAAAACAGTCTTCACACAGGTGCATAATGTAGACAAAAATAAGTTTTAACCTGGCTGAAAGTACAATGAAACAACAACAACAAACAAACGAACCCCAACAAGAACAACAAAACACTGAACAAAACAACAACAAAAATCTAATCCAATTAAAAATGGACAAGGAGCCAGAATAGATATTTCTCAACAGAGGATATACAAAAGACCAAAGTCTACGGAAAAAAAAAAAATAACACTAATCACTGATGATCCAGGAAATGAACATCTAACCCACAATGAGATACTGTCTCACCATAGGTAGTATAGCTCTGATACAAGACAAAACCAACTGTGCATGGTAGTGCATGCCTGTGGCCCCAGTTCTAGAGAGGCTGAGGGAGGAGAACTGTAGGTTTTAGACTGTCTCAAAACCAAATCAACAAATAAAACAAAAACAATTAATGTTGGAAAGGTTACTAAGTAAGGGAACTCTCTTGCACTATTTAGTGGGAATGTAACTTTGAACAAACACCATAGAAAACAGAAACTTTAAGTAGCCTCTGGGTATGTATACAAAAGAGGGAAATCAGTCTGTCAAAGAGGTATCTCATTCAAATGTTTACTGCAGCACTACTTGTAACAGCCGACCTAGGCATCAATCTAGCTGTGCACCAATGAACAGATAATAAATAAAATGTGCTCTCTCCCTCCTTCCTTTCCTCCTCCCCCCCACAAGAATAGTATCTGGTCATAAAAATGAAGTTTCATCATTGGCAGCAACATGGATGGAACATGGGAATAACAAAATTTCAGGCATAGTCTGGTGGCTCTTGCCTACATTCTAACTACTGAGGAGGCAAAAGCAGAATTATTGTCAGGAATTTGAGACCTAAAGACACTGTCTCAAAATATAATAAAATTAAAGCTCATTATGCATCAACCATGTAAAGTATGTTATTCCCATGGAAAACAAAACAAAACCTGCATGTAATAACAGCTAATACAATGGCCATCAAAAAACCTGCAGAGCTTAGCAGGGTGGCATCTGCCTATGTAAAGCAACCAGTTAGGAGGTTAATGAAGGACAAGCTGAGTCTGAAGCCAGCCTGATTTGCAAAACAGAAATCATATACTTACACATCATACCCCTTATGGCTATTGTGAGAAAGAAAAACTAAGAACAAATAGTTGACCCAATCATGTAATTGGCCTCACCCAGCACTGGCTACTAATAGCACCAACAGGATTATTTCCCATAGCATCCAGAGGGAACACTTAGGAGCCAAGTGTAGAACAGGGAAACCCTGTTCTACAGATTGCTGGTCAATAGCAAATACAAACCCTTCTTCTTCATTACCCAGTTCCATCTTCACTGTTAATATAACATACCTGCGGTCAGACTAGTCTTTACATTCATATCATTCCTTATTTAAATAAGCTCCTATCAGGGGAACTGATGTGAGAACAAAATTTTAGAACATTATTTGGTTTTTTTTTTTTTAAAAAGTCAATACTCTAACTTACAATTAGGGAAGCACAAATTAATAGACTTCCTGAAACAGAAGACTTCCAGAAAAACCACATGATGTTCAACTGAATACAAATTTCAAATGAAATCCCTAGTACATTCCCAATTTTACATGGGACATACATATACTAAGAAGCGATTTGTTGCTTACCTGAAATTAAGTTGCAATGGTATCATGGTTTTCTTGGATAAATTTAGCAACTCTAGCAGGGTAAATTCAACATCATGAAAAATGTTTTTCTGTAAGTAAATTTTTGAGTTTCTCTTTCATTTAGATTGTTTTCTTGTATTGATAAGAAAATGTTATGACTATGCCAACTTTGTTCAAACAACATTTCAGAAATTCTTCCTCCCTGACACATAATTTAGTCATGTCTCAATTTCCTGTGTCTCATGAAGTTGCTCAAGAAGAGGTCACATGCAGTTATGTACGTGTGGCAGGCAACATGCATGAGTACCGCTTCCCTTTGGCTGTAGTCAGGCAGACCTTCTGGTATACTTTTGTTTTCACCTCTGGTAGGAACAGATGACACAGTTCCTCTGTTCAGAGAACAGTTACACAACCATTATATACAAACATGCAAGATGGTTATTGTCAAGGAATTGAATTATGTCATTTTTCTCAGGCTCGACAATCACAGTCGCCATCACTAGAATACGAATGAGCAAAGGGGTCAAGTCCAGGCAGAAGAAACCCATAGAAACAGCTGACCTGAACAAGGGGGGAGCTCATGGACCCCAGACTGATAGCTGGGAAACCAGCATAGGACTGTTCTAGAACCCCTGAATGAGGATGTCAGTTTGGAGGTCTGATTAATCTATGGGGCCTCTAGAAGTGGATCAGTATTTATCCCTAGTACAGGAATGGACTTTGGGAGCCCACTCCACATAGAGGGATCCTCTCTCAGCCTAGACACATGGGGAGGGTCTAGGCCCTGCTCCAAATGATGACAGACTTTGAAGATTCCCCAAGGAAGGCCTCACCCTCCCTAGGGAGAAGAAAGGGGATAGGATAAGGAGTTGGTGGGGGTCAGGGGAGGAGGGGAGGGAGAGGGAACTGGGATTGGCATGTAAATGAAGCTTGTTTCTAATTTAAATTAAAAAAGGAAAAATCTGTGAGGTGTAAAGAATAAGAGTAAGTAAGATTTCCCACTGTTAAAGATCATAAAAGAACGCGTTGAGGCGTAGATGACTGCAGACATGCATTTCTAGAATGTTCATTGAGTAGCCTGCAGACAACAGGCAATCAGTGACTGAGGAGAAAAGGGGGAAAGCCAGTAGTAAAGACACATAAGCCAGTGGGAAGCTACTAAAGAGCTGAGACAGGAGGAAGGACCTTGCACCAAGGGAAGTCGAGTCTTGGGACAATTGAAGGAAGTAGGGAGGCTGAAGGACCACACAGGATGGAATCAAGCTGTATTACATGACTCAGTCTTCACGAGACAACAACTTCTCAGGGTTACTCATAGTATATAACCTGAAACACAGCAATTTATGTAAATATTCTGAAAACACTACAGAATGCCCCTGAGCCTCTGGTTATCCTGGTCATGAACCAGGGTGGCTAGAATCCAGGGTTCCAGGGATAACAGGATCCCCTAGAGAAACACAAAAATGCCAAATATTGATGGGGCTTTTCTGTCTAGTTGGACAGACCAGCTCAACAAACCCAAAAGAACCACCCTCAAGTGGGACTCTAAACCATTTAAGGGAACTTACTATGTCTTGGGTTCCTTTTTATTTTTTAAATTTCTTTTTTATTTATTCTATGTACCTTTTACTTCATTCTTGATGTATCTTGATCCCATTCATTTCATCTTGGGGTTATTTGCAAGTTATATTTTATCCCTTTCAAACTGTACCAGCTACTCAACTACTACCATATTTTTCCTTCTTTCTTCCTGTCTTGTCCTCCTTCTTCTTCTGTTTTTGGTTTTTTTTTTTCTTTTTTTTTTTTTTTTTTTTTGTTCAGGGTTTTTTTTTGTTCCTAGGTTGGCCAGGAACTCAATACATTCTAGTCTGCATGTTCAGAGACCCTACTGCCTCTGTCTCTCAAGTGCTGGAATTAAAGGTGTGAGCCACCATGACTGGCCTTCTTCAAATGTTTTATGGATAATAGTAAAAATAAACTATTGTTAGCAATTCTAGTCCCTACCACAATATTCCACAAAAAGCTAATATTTAACAAATAATGCAGAGATGTTTTCTTTAGGAGACCAAAAAGAAATATGGTGATTAACTATGGTGCTCAAGAATGAAAAAGGAAATCTATTCTAGGATCATTTAAGGATCATAATCCACAAAGACTAAGAGTTGGGGAAGGCAGAGCAGTCAGGCAATGCAAACCAACAAACATCACTAAAAGACCCTACACCATCTCTGGAGTGAAATGAAATCTGCTAATGGAACCATGCTGAGTGAGATCTCAAACACCTAATACTAGACCTGGAAATATACACAAATCATAACACTGCCAATGGGCAAAATATCAGTCACTGCAATAGTCCATTTATGGATCTGGTGCTTGATCAGGGCTGGGCAGGGATCAGGTAAACACCCAGAAGACCTAGGAAAGAAAGAAGTAGAGGCGGGGGTTTCTGGGGCTCAATTAGAATTTTCAACCCCTGGTGTCCAGGGAGAAAATAGGATTGGAAAGCCCTAAGCAGGTTGGGATTTCCCATCAAATCAAACAACATAATTGTTGCCTTTCCTGTATGAAACTCAGGGAAGACATTATTAAATTAGGTCCTTGACTAATGGAGATGAGGAGGCACTTATGGCTGTGATGACCTCACTTTCTGCTCTCACATTGCATTACATTTAATGCATCTCAGCTTATAGATTGCAAACTGAAAAGGAGAAGGGAGAGAAAAGTACCAACTGCCACAGCACCTGGCAAGACATTTCATACACGAAGCAGCTACACAAAATTGGTAGTATTTTTCAGTCAACAAAAGAATATACCATTTTTTACAAACATGATAAAAATGCAGTCTAAATGATTTCCTTAGAAATACATTTTGAATTAATATTACTTCTTGTGGAATATATTAAAATAAAAAAACATATTGTTTTGATTTATTTCAGAGTTGGTCAAGTTAAAGGACATCGGGCCTTTCTTAAAATAGTATAATCACACATGAAACTAGAACTAATTATACATACCATTAAGTATATCCAGAATAAATGTTCTCATTTTATAATGTACTTTTTTTTCAGTGGGTTGATCACACTAATAATATTAACAGGACCTTCCTCCATCATTTGCACTGAGGTAAAGTAAATTTCAATGCCACTTAGGTGGGGTGATTACATTAGGAATTATAACATTTATATTGTTTGACATTACTATAGCTGAACATGATTTTATTCTATATGTGAATGCCAGCACAATCCCCCAGACTCTCTCATCTATCATCCTATTTGTTTTATTTGCAAGCACCCAGAGATGGGGCAATTTCCTCCTGATAATTCCATGAGCTGCTTGTGAATGGAAAGTAAAGGCTTTGAAATCTAGAACTTATACTAAGTTACAAAAGTTGGTTCTGGTAACAAAATGAATTAACCTCCAAAGTTCACCTTTCCATACTACTAAGAGACCCCTGCTTCCCAGAGTCAGACTCCTCTCAAATCACTCACTTTCTGGGGGAAAAAAAATTAAACAGAGAAAAGTACAGAGACAGGTTAGCAATCATATAAAATAAGCAAAAAAACAAAACAAAACAAAACAAAAATCTTAAGTCCTGTATAGAACTTACACAGCCTCATCTGAACACAAATCCTGCCCATTAACAGCATACATCGAGCAAGGAGAAAGAAGACTTGATTGTGGGGACACTACAGCTCTGAATAACATAAAAAACCTTGTTAGGTGATCCTATCATTGACCCTGGTAATTGTGGCAGATTGAAGTACTGTTTGGTAAATACTCAACATTTTTTCTACCCCAGCTTCATGGACATACGTGCACCCCTGATTCATCAATGTTGGGTCTGGTACTGACTTACTTTGGCAAAAGGAGTAGAATTAGATTGGACTCAAACTGACATTTAGAATGTGTTTGGACCCTGTCAATGTGATTAGAAAAGTTCCAGTCTGCTGTCCTTTCCCATCGGGTTGCAGAATAAGTATCTGTCAAATGAAACAAAGCCAGATCCAGTATGAAGACACAAACCCCAATTAGTGTGCAACACGAAGCACTTCTGTATGCAGCCAAGCCCAGCTTAGAGCACCCCAGGGGATCTGCAGTGGGCAGAGAGATGGTGAACCCAAAGTACTTTAAGCTGCCAAATTGTTTGTTTGTGACATAGCAATAGCTAACTGATACGTCATGAAGAAAAGAGGAAGAGGTTAAAAGAGTTACAGTTTTAGTAAAACTTCTATGAGAAGTTATTAAATATTAAAGTGTAACATCTGAAGAAAGGAAGCTAGTTTCAGGTGAATGAAAAATTCGTGTGTATGGAAAGCATTCCCAAACCACTACTTAAAGAAAGAGTGTGATACATGGTTCCTATGAGCTCTGTCCCAAGACAAAGAGAACCAGCACTCTATTTAACTAAGGTTGCCTCAGCCTTGCAGGACAGGTGCACCGGACCTGGAGCTAGCACACTTCCATGAAGGTTTCACACTGCTGCCCAGCAAGAAGAAACTGCCATGTGGGGCTGTGGGCTGAGAATATGTTTACTTCACTTCCCAAAAAGAAGCCTGTTCTTTCAAGAAATGTCAAGACCTGCATAATGAAAAGAAAAGAAGAATTCTGGGTTCCTGGCAATATCTCCCTTGTGACTGCACAGACTGGGGTAACAGGATGCTCCATGATGTAACTGCACACAGTGAAAGTGAATAGCACATCATACACAGTAGACTTTGTGCTGGGTGTTGGACCTCTGTCACACGGCCAGCCACCCTAACAGGTATTACCGACATTGGCCCTTCAGAGAATGAAGGAAACACTGTCATGTGGAGAATGTGAAGGAGCAGGGTGCACAGCTTGGAAGCTACTAAGCAGGGGTCCATACACTGCACATTACTGCCTGAACATCACAAACACTAGTGGATATCTCACCACAAAACCACAGTCTCAGCTTTTCTCCTCAAAGTGAGCGAGACATCCAACATGGAGATATTTAGAGAAAAGTACAAGGTTCTTCCTCCCCCAAAATATTTCCTT